ATTATAGGAAACGAAAGCTAATCCTGTGGGAAATCACATATTTTGAGAATAGCACATTTTAGGAAACTGACGTTGTACTCCTGAGGATACAACAATATTTTTTATTTATTTTTGCATTTTTTACTTATTTGATGTACCGAAATAAAAAGTCATGCCGTTAAATTAAATATCTATATGAGGCTTATCTGAGTTGAACTCTGTGCAATATGTGCTTGTATATTCATTTAAGGTAATTAATAAATTACCTCGTTTAAATTTTATGATCTAAAACTGTATATCAAAACAGAGTACTGTATTGTCTTAGATATTAATTAAAAGCCACCTCATTTTTAGGGTTCCGTACCTCAAAAGGAAAAAACGGAACCCTTATAGGATCACTTTGTTGTCCGTCCGTCTGTCAAGACCGTTTTTCTCAGGAATGCGTGGAGGTATCAAACTGAAATTCATATCATTAGATATATAGAGTATTAACTCTGTTCTACTGTCCCTTGGAGCTGTGAAAAAATCAAACTTCTAAGCCAAAGCAATCAAAATATACAGCTGTTTATGCCGTAAATTTTCGAAACTCGTACGGGAATCAAAACCTACAGGGTACTTCCCGTGAACTTAGAATCTTGAAATTTGGTACGAAGTAACGTCTTATAGTACAGATAAAGGAAAAATTGCGAAAACCGTAAATTTTTAGTCACATCATATAATAAAAAATCTTTTTGAAAATTTTAAAGTTACTACCTCTTTTCTCATGAACGCGTAGAGGTATTAAATTGAAATTCATATCAAATACTCAGGTCTATAATACCTTTAAGCTGTAACAAAATCAAACTTTTATGTCAAATGGATGAACTCTTACTTATATACCTAAAGGTTTGTACGGAACCCTCGGTGCGCGAGTCCGACTCGCACTTGGCCGATTTTTAATATTTAGGTATTTCGCGAACATAGAAGGTACTTAATTAAAATCTCTTCATCTAATGTTGGCCAAGTTCGCATCTAAATTAATGCGTAAATTATCATAAATATTTTGATTATAAGCAGAATTCCCAGCACGCCACCTTCACAAGTATGGATATGAGACGAACACTGCGTAAATTATAAATTATTTTAGACGCAACATATGGTCGCAATTGTGACATAATACTGGCCGTATATGTGTTAACAATGTTAGCATCAAACAAATCGTTTATAATGAGAATGATAAATTATATTTTTCTGTATTAAAATATATGCAGTACAAACATGTTTGTCTGCAACGATTGAGGGAGCTTTAGCCAATGATCGAATTGAACATCCCCTTGTTGCTGAACGTAACAAGGTGACATCAGGTACGTACGATGAAGCAAAACCTTCAATAAAAAAAATATTATCACATCATCAGGTTAACTATCGTATAAAGAATAATGAAATAAGACAATGAAATATAGGTAATTGTAATGAGTTTATGGCCTTTTCCGTTTTTTAATATAGGGTTATATAGGATTAACATGATAGATCAGAAAAAAGAAATAGATCACAATTTAGACAATTTTTAGATTGTCAACAGAACTAATAAAGGGCAATGGAAATGTACCTGAGCTGACAGTGGTAATGATTAAAAAATAGGAAACCTGCTAGGAAATTAACAGGTTGGGTGATTAAAACCGCCACCCGTGACAGCCTTGTGTTATGTCACTCGACCTCGAGAAGGTCGACATCTACCAGACTACCACAGTAAGTCAAGTTTATAGAGGACGTGGATTCTACAATGAAGACCGGTTTCACAAATGAACTTTAAATATTTTTTTCCACGGATGCGTTAGTCAGGATTATGTCAAGGTATACAATTTTATGTAACGTCTAATATACAGACAGTGGTGGTGGCGGTAACATATTAATTTAATAGGATATTAATAATTCAGTTTGTCATTTAAGAATTTTCTTGTGATAATTGATGGATTTTTCAGATATATTCTTTTATAAAACCTTTTCTTTACAATAAAGAACATAACAAAAAATCTGCCAAATCCGGGGCGTCGTTCTCAAGTAATGATTTGATTTTTTTGTTTGTTGTTTTTTAGTTGTATTTGATTTTTATGCGTACGTACATCCATATTCCATGCCATATCAGTTTTATTCATGACACCAAATACTTAAAACTAGGAAGTAAAAATAAAATCATACGAATTTAGTGTTACATATTGAATATATGATATAATAACAATTTTCGTCCCCTTGACTACACAAACCTCTTTGAATCGATTTGAATCCAGAATGTATACTTTAACTTCACGGCGGCATATTGTCTATTAAATACTTTTATTTTTTGTTATTTATACGGACGTATTTATTTGTCTCAGGCTGTTTACCTGCAAAAACGATAAAAGTAATATAGAACGAACGTACCATAAAACAACCAATATTTTGTTGTGGATTAAGATCTTCAGTTAAGTGCAGCATTACTAGTGACAAACATAAATGCACTTAACTAAGCCATGTGTTGACTAGGCAATGTTTAAAGTTTTATGATCCCAACGACCTTGTATCAACATAGTAAGGGCTATTGTCGAGAAATCGTCATAATTGCAAGTGTTCATCTCTTATCGAGTCGAATGCACCACCAGCGAGATGAATACATTATTTTTAATGGGTTAACTCCTTGGGATCACTCACATGTCAGTTTCATTTGACACCAAAAGTTCGATAAGCAAGTCAAGTCAAAATTTTAAATAAGAATGTTACCTTAATAAGTTTTAACCTGACCCCACATAAATAGGTTCAGTTGATAAACTCTTATTGATAAAAAAGAAGCTTAGCATAAGATAATAGTGCATTTTTTTTACTAATACGTACCTACTGAATGGTGATAAGATAAATATTTGGCGTAATGTATGAATCTATTACAAGCACGTTTGGAACTTAGTGGAAAATTAACGCATTTCTACTCTAAAATAACATAGTATGCTCGATAATTTGCACGTGGGCAGAACTGCATAAAGGACTTGGGCGTTTAAATGCACCTATTTATCTAACAGGCTTTCAAGCTAGCGCTACCCACGGGAATCTAGTATTATTCAAAGTAGAACTATAATGGCTACATACTGAGCAATAAAATGCAAAATTAAAAAGAATTAAAAACCTGGAATCTAACAAATCAGATAAGCATCAACGAAAATCAGCCAAAACTAAACGCTTGGTGGAGCGCCAGCCAAATGTTGTTTTTGTACAAATCAAAAAAGTTTATGTACCAGTTAATGGTACTGTTAAAGTTGGAAACATTATTAGGTACCCACCCACGGGATCTTCCAAGAATAGACGCGGACGTCATAAAAGAAGCCAGAACAAAACCGCAAACTAGTTCAAACGATGCTAATAAAACTGTATTAACTTTTTCAACAAACTCAATGCGCGATCAATTAAAAGCCCCTTAGTCATTGTTGATGATAATTAAACCACAATATCATCCCGTGCTGGAAATGACAGCAAAAGAAAAAAATATGCTTAATGAAAAGTCAAAGTAAAGTCGCAAAGTAAAGCCTACCATTATTATATTTTTATTTTTTACGAATTTAACTGCTAGATATTTAAAAATAAAATAAAAAAGGTAACAAACGGGACTCGAACCCGCACCCTTCACTATCCGGGCAAACTGACGACCTCCTTGGCCGAGTGGTTTGTATGCCGCGTTTCATTATGTCGCCGACTCGAGGGGTCCCGGTTTCGAACTCGGTGGGGGCAGATGTTTGTGTGATGAATACGAGAATTTGTAATCCAGTCATGGATGTTTAATATGTATTTCTATATAAATATACATATATATATGTACAGTATATGCATTGTATCCGTTACCCTAGTATCCCATAACACAAGCCTTATAGTGCTTAGTTTGAGGCTAGGCTAATTGGTGTGTTGTTTAAAAAAAATTACCATTAGGTAACCGCAGCCCTGATGGCCGTGTCGAATTTTGTCTATTATTTCTTAGGCTGCAAAGCAGCGCAATCTCTTCGCCTTATAGGTAACCCACAATGTCAAATGACAATGAGCCTTGCCTAAGACAGGCTTCGGTAGCTGTATTATTATTATTGGTATGGCCTGTAAAATTTAAATATTTGTTTTGAAATGTCGTTCCGGGAGTGATATTTACCGTACTGCTAATAAATAATATTTTATTCCGCATATCTTGCAAAGCATAATTTATTTATTTATTTGATCACCAACAAAGTTACATTTAGACATTTCTTAATTACACATTAATAGTAAGACAGTTTATTAGTGGAACTTTAATTATAGGCGATTACGACATGCAATATGCACTTAAATAGCAATAAAATTTTGATAATTACATTAATTTTAATACAAAGCAATTTTAAACAAAAATAAAATTTTAAAGTGTCAATAATTGAACAACAACAAAAAAATAAATTAATGAAAAATAAAGACATGAAGATAATGATGACTATGTTCGTATGTACAATGAATAAGTACATTAAATCATCTTCGAATCGTGTGTGTACAACACGGATGTGTTGACGCGTAAAGACACATAACTAGCAACATTTCCAAAAATAACAGGCTGGCAAGAACCACGAGAAATTACAAATGACATGTATTTGAAAAGTAACAGTGACACTTCACGCGATACTGCCGTAGATATACCAATTGATAGAAAAACAAATATTTACCGAAACAATAACTTTTTACAAAGAGCAACAAATCGAAGCAATTTATCCACTGTGTATTTGTAAACAAACACACATAAAACAATTTGCCTTAAGTTAACATAAAATAAATACGAACGTACAGAGCACTAAATATGTTTGTTTTTGCACTATTCAGTCGAAGAATGATTTTATGGATTGTTATAAACTTATCAATGTCATTAGATTTAGTGGAAAACATAACGTACTACGGCACTTATATCCATAATAAACAATGATGTTTATTAGACCCGATAAGTTAAAAAACTCAACTGAGTATCCATCCAAAGTATATTACTTAAAAGTAAATATCAAAAACAATATACTCACAGCCGGGCGATATTCCGTTCTCCTTCATAGCACAGCGGAATGGATAATAAGTGCCTGGCAGCACCTTGCCATACATTGTCCGATCCATCTTCGGCCAATCGTGAGCTTGTTTTTTAGAAATAAAACACCCACTGGTTCAACACTGAGACCAGACCGCCATAATCACAACCTACACGTAAACAGAGTAAACACCGCGACCTACGCCACAGGAAAATGCATAAAACAGTTGCATTTAGCACGAGCACTTGTTTATTAATTAATAAGTCAATATTATGCGACAACACTCGGACTCACTCAAGGATATGCCTTTGCCGATGTTAATCATGATAATATTCGATCGTCGCGTTCGAATGTCAACATTATCGGAGATTGTAACGTTAAATCGGTATACGTTGTGATTAGTGATAAGGCTTATGTTGTGAGGGCGAGGTCGCGAGTGACGCCGGTCGCACGGTGAGCTCGGAGTTGAGTATTCGTCAACACGTCCCAGTCACAACTGAGTCTCGTGGTGTAGAGCGGCCGTCGCCAACGCCGGCACACGCCACTCCAGCCTCACCGGCTGGAGATTATTTATACGCGGGACGGCCACAAATCAAGTGCATTCGTCAAAATCGATGTACAATAAGCAGAATTTATTGTCACACCTAATGTATGCAGCTTGTGTACTATAAAATCTGCAACCATAATCTCCATGGGGAGACGTATACAGAACGGAGATATAAATATCCTAAGAATATTTAGAACAATCTTTGACAGTTACTAGAAAACGTGATCAATCATCAAGAATAGGTATTCTAATTTTGTGGCTATCCCGCCACAATTCCTGCCACATCCGGCCGCGAAGTGATGCCCGTGAGTCTACTCTGACGACGCTTCCGGCTCATCACAACACAACGCCCTATTCTCTAATTTACGATAGCCATCAGAAAATATTTCTTTAACTGTTCCTTTGATGTATTCTTTTGATACTTTTACGGTATTTCCCACATGACACGGAATACAGAAATGCAACAAACCGTTCACCAGCTAAACGATCAAGTATTCCATCCTTGCGGTCACCGCTAATAGGCAATGAAGTATTCGTGGTTCATTAAAACAGCAAATTGCAGTTTATAGCGTGTCCGTTTTACGATGTTCCTAACTGTACCATTGTTCCCTGCACGTAGCTTCTAATAAGGAAGTAAATATTTGAGCTGGTCTCTAGCGAGTTGAACCCACTTCCATCCAAATATTGAGTGAGAGTAACACACCTATGACTGTTTCAAAATGCTTCTGAAAAACCAGTTATGTACACACATTCAAAAAAGCTTCCCATGAAACAGTTTCTATTGGCCTCTTATGTATCAAACGAGTAATTAAACATCCATAGGCAAAAAGGGAAAATCCGTAAGTGTTTATTACATTTGACAAATTATCACTGACTGTCGTGATTATCAGTCCGTTTCACTCGACTTCTCCCGCGACATGCTAATTTATGTATTATGATAAACATACACAAACCGAATCGCTTTCCATCACAGATACGAGAGACTTGAACTCGCTAGCACGACGAGCATTGAATCACTGCCAAGATCTGACATAACAACCGGCAAGGGTGAAATTACAAGTAACATCAATGAAATGAACGGCCAACGGACGGACGACGACGTAATCACACTATTGACTTATCGAACTTCACCCGAAAATTAAAAAAAATCCCCAAAGTAACGATAAAGGAATTCGCCATTTGCGTGGTCAAAAGGGATTTGTCAACTTTTCCCGCCTAACGTTCGTACGTTCTGGCACAGAAATTCTGATTGAAGCGCGCCCGACCAAAGCGCTCGACTGACCATGGGGACGTAGGTAACGCAATACACAACTCCTCCCTCACACACCGACCGACTGTGCCTGTGACGTAACGGACAAGCACTGATGATGATTACAACGGCTTATCATACTTGCTTCATATTATATATCGATGTTCCTATCCTATAAACTACAAAGACTGGCTATATACCTGAATAATAGCGCTGCGTGTTGACATCTTGACTAGGGCTGCCATCTTTAAAATGTGGCAACCAGGATAAGACGCGTGATAACCCCGGATTTTGTTGGGCAGAACCCGGACAGACCAAAAAAAAACAGTTAAAAATGTCACAAATCAACTTTTTTATGTTGATCTAGGCAAACGAGCTAGCAGTCTACCTCATAATAAGTGGTCACTGCTGCCCATGTACACTTGCAGCACCAAGGGCCACTCAGGCGTTGCCGTAATTTTTTTAACCCGGACTACAAATAAAACCCCGCCCGGACGCTCCCCGGACGCCCCGTAAACTAGGACAAATCCGGGGAAACCCGGACGGATGGCAGCCCTAATCTTGACATAAATGGGGAAGGTGTGTCCATGATATGTACTCACGCGTAACACGATTACGACACGAGCTAACACAGCTGGATGGCTGTAATTTAGTTAATTAAGGTGGGAGTGGACACCAAATTAACTTCACGGGGGTTTGTCAACGATTACCATGTGTGATAATGGGGAAGGTGTTGATAAATCAACGATATTACCCTGTTAAAAAGGCCAATAAAGTGCTTTTATTTTAATTTAGTAGAAAAAATGATATTTCTTATTATTTGTAAGGTCAGTATCTAAAAACATTACACTCTTTTATGCAATCTGTGCAATCTAAAAATATCCGAAAAGACAAGTGTTAAATGAAATGAAATAAGTACTAGTCAACTATCAAAGAGTTCAATTAGTGGGTGCTGAAACCAAAATAAGATGTAACATCACTCACTATCGTACTTAGAACTAAGTAGACTTAACAACAGCGTTTTCTAAAAATACAGTCCCCAGCACTTTAGGATAAATAATGGCCATTCAGTCCCAAAGTGAAAGATTGGCATGCGGGGCTGCTCTATGTCAAACCAGATGATGGGGAGACCGGTAGCACATGCACCTTATTATGAGCCGACTTGAATTCCCCTGTGAGTTGTTGGAATGTTAATGATTCTCATTTTATGGATGGAGAACTCAGCTGGAGCACGCTGAAGTGACGAATGTGGCAATACTTTTCTTTGAGGTCAAATCTAATAGGACATCGGATACTCGCGACGACGACCTGTCGCATTTTCAGTTTGCAGCTTCATTTATTTGGGTTTGCGACACCATTAGTAACTTTAAATTAGAAGACTAAGTACCTACATAACCATCAGTAACATTTAGTAGTAAATCGCAAATTGCCGATGTTACAAATCACCAACGATTTGCGACGTCACACAAATATCTTTCAAGGAGGAGGAGGATATTATTAATGTCCATTTATATTAGATAAATAAGAGTTCCTTTTAATAGATTTATGTAAAGCTAGCGATCCGCCCAGCTTCGCTCGGGTACAATGAGAAATTGAGAAGTTTTGAGACTTCAGTAGAAAAACATCTTGATTTTTTTACCATCGAGTATTACCAGTGGATTTTCTAAATAATATTATTTCAAACAAGCCTTGTCCTGATAATAAATAACATAATAAAATAGAAGAATTCATTTCGACCACTTTTGACGACCTCCGTGGCCGAGTGGTTTGTACGCCAGGTTTCATGGCGTCGCCGACTCGAGAGGGTTCGAATCCCGGTGGGGGCAGAGGTTTGTGTGATGAATACGAGCATTTGTACTCAAGTCATGGATGTTTAATATATATTTCTATATAAATATACTTATATATGTACTGTACTTTACACAAGCCTTACAGTGCTTACTTTGGAGCTAGGCTAATTGGTGTGTGTGTTGGAAATATTTATTTATTCAGCTGTTAGTATATCTAATAATAACACTCTCTTAAATTAACAGGCTATAATTAATAAAGTTTTCGGGATAGGAAATGAGGTAGATCTACTTATCGATACAACACACCCTGCTAAAATGTAAGAGTACCTCAGCGACTATTAGTAAGTAGTCCATTACAAGGTGGGATTGGCCTCGATAGGCATCATTAATCATGGAAACGCCAAAGGGAGCCATCATCGTAGTTGTTAAAACCATTATTATGAAGATTACAACACCACTGACGTCGTGTGGTACAGTTAACAGCAGAACAGGATACCCTGTTTAGGGAAAATTTGTGATAATGCTACACTTGTAGAGGTTCCAGTACTGCTATAAGTACTTAGAAATCAACAATATTAAAAACATAATTTTGCTTTTTCATTGGAGCAAGAGTGTGAACGGCATAGGTAATGGAGCTGTCATTGGCCGTCTTATACTAATAGTCCGGTCAATTTAACTGTAAAATAAGGGGTACCCTTCAAAAAACAATTGAAAAAATACCGATATACCGTTGTGGTATCTATGTAGGTTACCTCATCTACCTTAAATACAAAAGGGGCATCAAAATCTGACCGGCAGTTTTAAGAAAATTGACACTTCGCAATACATTCATTTTACTACATGTTTTGTTTAATTAGGCCATTTCTGGTCGTATTTGCATCGTTTGGTGTATTTTTCTGCTAGTTATAATCACATAATACTCCAGCCATCAATTCATTGTTTATCCCTAGCTAGCTTTAGTTCTTTGGGAATGGTAATGGATTTTAGGACGGTGCCAGGTGCATTCTGGGCGATAAGTATAGATTTCTTGATGTATCTTTATTCGCATTTGTTATTTAACTAACAGGGACTTAGCTGGCTTTCGGGACAGTTTTGGTAGCAGTACTACCAAATCGAATCCAGAGAAGGAAGCTCACAACCCCGCGGTCAATGCGTTTTGGGTAAGAACTCACGGCGCGATTTTCTCCAGCACTGGACTGCAACTCGCGTAGAATGTGAAACTGTTGATAGCACGCAAAAGCAATCACGGCGCGATTTGCGCCCGTACAGCACCGAATATTTCCGGCAGTCGAGGCTGGTTTGCGGTAATGCAGAAAACAGCGGTCCAGTGAGTTTTAAAATAAAACATTTATGCGCGGGCGCCCCGCGCCGGTAGTGGAAAAAACCACTCTGTGAATTATTAGCCTACAGCGACGACGACCATCCTCTGTAAACTATTGACCCTGAATGCCTCGGATAACGTCCTGGGTAGCCTAGGAAATGGCAGCCGAGTCAAAGGGGCTTCTGATCCATAGTAAAAGGTCTGTTTCAGGCCGTGGTGCAGTTTAACTATGAAGTGGATGGAAATGGGGCCACCTCGCTTCTAAGAGGTGCTATGGTATTTGTCAAAATCAAGAGCGTATTTCCCCCCAACTACGAGCACGTATTACGACGGACGTACGATTAAGAATTCCTAAAGATTCTGCAAGAGGAGAACGCGTAACTCCATAAAGAGGTTGATTCTACGGGAAAAGCTGAGTGCCCTGCAGCAGGACCGAGCTATCAACAAGAAGATTACAACAGTCAATCGGCTGATCTCCATTCAGGAGATAGGAATCGTCGAAGGGTTCAAGTAATGGAGAACCGGACGGGGAAGGAGGCTCCTGCTGGATCCTTGCCTAGGCAGGGAACCAACACCAAACGCACTGAGCCCCATCTCAGCTGCATGGGCAAGCGGCACCTCAGCAAGGGGCAGTACTAGTGGTGTTTCTGCTGCGCAAGGGCAGGTAAAATGGACAATCATTATCATTCGCTGAATGCTCTAGTGGCCTCAAAATCTTTAAATAGAGATGAACTTGTTTGTTACAACAGAAAAAAATATATATTGTTTTAAACTTTCATGGTCACTAACATTATAACTATTAACGGGATGGTTACCATGTACCTTGTTTTTTATGAGTCAAGTCAAGTCAAGTTGCAACAGTGCCGAAATATCGGAGACTTATATCAAAACTAAGTATTGATGGCTTAAGTGACTCAGTATCCGGACAAACCCAATGTGGGTTTTTGTGATACTTTTTATTAATTACTGTATTTTGTATTATCAAATAAATGAAAAAAAAAAACTAAACTCTAAGGGTGATCTTGAGATGCTGTTTTCACACAAATGTGAAAACAGCATCTCTGTAGTAATGTATCTGTAACCTGCAATCTCTATAATGCAGGTATTCAATACAATACCTAGGCAATGTAAGAAATATTATAATTATTATTTTCCATTTTATACATTGCCAATGATATTGGAGGAGCTTGATGGCGCAAGTGGTAAGCGCGTTCCGCTGCAATCGTTGAATTTAAGCAACTTTCACAGTGGTCTGTCATTGGATGGGTGACTGAAAATTTACTATCTCGAGCTCCTCCGTGCTTTGGAAGGCACGTTAAGCCGTTGAACCCGGCAGCATCTGCAGTCGTTAGTACCCACCAACCCGCACTGGGCCTGCGTGGTAGATCATGGCCCAATCTCCCTATTCCATCCATAGGGAAGGCCTGTGCCCCAGCAGTGGGGACATTAATAGGCTGATGATGATGATGATGATGACATTGCCAATGATATTACATATAATGTCCACTGATGCAATGTCTACTACATAATAATGATATTAGAAAATAGTTAAGTTTCTAGTTATTCACTGTACCTATCTAATAAATAGTTTTTTAATAATTTTTAAAGGATTTGATTTAGTTTGTTGATGTTTCATATTGTAAATTTATATGTAAAACCACATGTACTTTTATAATGCTGTACTGACTTCTTGCTTAATTATTTCATGTCATAAGGTTCTGAGTGCTGCCGAGTGCTATCAGTGCTACAGAACTCCCATCACTCCCGCAAACAAAACAAAGTTTGTGGCATTGTAATTTTTAATTCATGGTATATTTTCGTTAAGAATGTTTGAAGAAATACATGATATAAAATTTCAAAGAGATTCAGATGATTTTATTGTGTATGCGATTAAATAATACTTCAAAGCATGATTAATTAACTACAAAACTTTTAAATTCTTCAATTGGTAAAGTTAGTTTATATTAAGTATTTGAATCAGGGCAGTTGTACAGGAAAATTTTAGACAATTCATCTTATCACTAAAGCTTTCAGTCAATGACCTCTGTCATCAGCTGATTAAATGTCATGGAAATCATTTAATCATTTTAAGAATTCTACACTGTTCTGGAAGGAAGTATTCAAATATAGAGAATGGTTTGCCAATCAAAGGTTTGGTCAGCATATATACCTACTTTGGTAAACAATAGAGCATAATGTTGTTGACTAAGCAGGCAAAGGTTACATGTTGGTAATACCTATTACTAACTTGACTAACAATTTTAACTAATTTACCTGAATCTCATCCTCAGATATTTTGATAAAACACGTCACTGTTTCGAGAACCAAGTAAAACAGGTTATGATAACAGTATTACTAAGTTACAGAAAACTTACCCAAATCATCCATGATAGAGGTTTGCGTATTTAATCCAGATTTGTATCAAAAATCGATATCCTGCTATCACGTTATTCACAATGTTTTATAACGACCATTAATGTATTTTTAACACTTATAATTAAAGCAAATATAAAAAAAAATCCTTTCAAACAAGAAAAATTTAGCTACCGAATCGAACCGTCAGATGTGTCATGTCGGCAAATGTCAAATTTGTTTAGAAATGGCTTAACATTACTTAAAACCTAAAATGTACCTTAAGTAACGCTTAGAGTAGCTGATTATATTAAACGACAAGTTTAAATAAAAAAAGGATCAAATAATAATGTTATTAAATGTTATATTATTGCCCCTATTATACCCGCCATACACACTACGATAAATCGTTACGATTAGACTGTACAGTCCGAACGGTACCCATAAATCGTAGCGTGTATGTTATAAAACTGCACAGTTTCCTATACTAAACGAAATCGTATAAACTGTACCGTTCGAACTGTACAGTCTGATCGTAACGATTTCTCGTAGTGTGTATGGCGGGTATTAGACTACCCAATTCTAAAGGACCCTTAGGCCGTATACAGAAAGAAAGCCGAAAAAGATTATAACTTAGATTAATTTAATCTAAGGATAATAATTCAAATACAAATTATTTATTATTCGGACCAGCGCGTGTCGGCGCCGATCAGCGCTTATCGGTGCCTATCGGCGCTGATCCTTTTTCTATGGACCAGCGCTTATAAGCGCCGATCAGCGCCGATAAGCGCCGACACGCGCTGGTCCGAATAATAAATAATTTGTATTTGAATTATTATCCTTAGATTAAATCAATCTAAGTTATAATCTTTTTATAAATCTAATAACTTTATCTTTTATTAACTAAGCGCTAAAATTATTTGTTTCGTACTTACCGAATGGTGACATCCAGTCTTTCTTCTGGAAGGATTGATTGTTTATGCCAATTGCACCATTTTTTCATCAAACGGTTTTTCACTAAATCCAAAATGTAATAAAATGTTTCTTGAGTCATTCTTGTATATAGAATAAAATCTTTGATATTTTTTTTTTACAACTAAATGATGGTATTCTCCGAAACGTTTCCTTTCTCTATTTATAGGATGTATAGCTGTTTTTCGCATTTTTAAATAAACATTTTCCAACAAAACCAAATCATCGTCCGATGAGTCCGACATTTTGCTTGATCTGCTTTAATCGGCTTCCTTTATGTAGGAAGGATCGGCGCCGATAAGCGCCGATCGGCTTTCTTTCTGTATACGGCCTTACCCTGATTAACGGTGGTGAAATATGAGTTAGGGAGTATGAGATCTAGGGCGATCTAATAGTGATAAACAGCTATTAGACTACAGAATTTTAAGGACCTTATCGAAAAGGTGGGCATGTCCTCTAGCTAGGGTAGCAATTATTACACCGCTCTATCAATCGGACTCTAACGCAACCTGATGAATTCAATTCATATTTTTATAAACTTCTCTAAATCCTTCGATCTTTTGTCTTTATTTAAGGGGAAATATGTAAATGATAAAAAAAAACTAAATATCTCACATTTTACCAGTGTTCTCCAATGCGATATGATTCTGTCGATTCTGGCAGGATTCTCTAAACTTAAAAATAAATTTAACATCAGTCTGTCCTTTTTATTCTGTATAGAGAATGACAAAGATAGACTGTTGTCTAAGTTTAGCTTTAGAGAATCATGCCAGAATCGACATCACTGGCCAGAAAAAAAAACTTTTGTCGGCAAAGGACTCAATATCCAAAGACAAATAATTAAAAAAAAAACCTATCGATCGATCTGTCAAAAGGTCGTCACTGTTGTTTACGTTACGCCCTTTCTGCATTAAAATTCGTAAAAATTTATAATCATAATGACTACGTCTGGTGAACAGCTAACTTTGGCGAGAGACATTAAAAGAGCTATTGAATTATTAGAAAAACTTCAACAAAGTGGAGAGGTGCCAGCGACAAAACTTGCTGCATTGCAGAAAGTGTTACAAAGTGATTTCTTGAATGCTGTGAGAGAAGTATACGAGCACGTCTATGAGACCGTTGATATTCAAGGTTCTGCAGATATCCGCGCATCGGCAACAGCCAAAGCTACTGTAGCCGCTTTCGCTGCCGCGGAGGGTCATGCACATCCGAGAGTTGTAGAGCTACCAAAGACTGAAGAAGGCTTGGGATTCAATGTGATGGGCGGTAAGGAGCAGAACTCGCCTATTTATATATCTCGCATTATTCCCGGTGGAGTAGCCGATCGCCATGGTGGGCTCAAAAGAGGTGATCAATTGTTGTCAGTAAATGGTGTTTCAGTTGAAGGTGAAAATCATGAAAAGGCAGTAGAATTGCTTAAGCAAGCAGTTGGATCTGTTAAGTTAGTAGTTCGTTACACCCCAAAGGTGCTAGAGGAAATGGAAATGAGGTTTGACAAGCAGAGAACTGCCAGAAGGCGCCAAAATTATAACTAAATCCACCTGTATAGTCAAAATGTGTTCATTTTGTACTCAATTTAGTTTTAATTTACTATTAATGAGATTTACATGTACTTAAAATATTATGCATACACAGGTATGATATTAGAAAGTTGTTATAAAAATCATCACATTTTTATATTAGAAAATCAAATTATTTTAAAATTAGTATTATCTATATTTAAGAAATTTAAAGTATTGTTTTTGAATTTTATTTAGTTTGTAAGTCATCATAATTAATATTTGTAAGTAAAATCATTTTAACATAGAAAGTTATCTTCCTCTTCTCTTGCAAAATGGCGGTCACTTCTATAGACTCAGACAAAATCATCTATTAGCAAATCAATAATAAATCAAATTAAAATAACACATCTTTTATTTTCATATGTACAGAAATATTTTTACCCTATTATCTACATTAAAATCACCAGGAATCAAAACTTCCAAAACTATATTTCGTATCTTTCTTAGGTTTCTTGGAAGGGACTTCTTGATTTTTTGTTCCTTTGCTTGAAGAAAGTTCTTGTAAATTCAAATACTTTCCAACTCCCTCCCTGAACACTTTGAGGGGCTCTGATGCAGCTTTCTTAGGTTTGACCCCAGGACCTTCAGCTTCTGCTTGTCGTTTTAACTCTGCAGCTCTTTCTGCTACAAGCTGTTAAAAATTTAATTTATAATCAAAATAAAATGAGGTACAAGATTTAATGGTAAATTGTAATAGTAATCTTTAAAACAAGCCTTAAACCAAGTACAGTATGCCCTGTATGGACACTCCATTTAAAATACATAGGGTGGTGAACTAGAGGCAAAGAGTAAGCCGCTAACTATGAACCTAGTGGGAACACAGCCTTAATAACAATAAGTACCTGTTCCTCAGCTTCTGCAAATGGGTCAACAAAAACCTGTGCCACCTCAATGACAATATCATGGATTGGTCTGTCTTTGTTGTCTACTTCTATTTGTTCCATTAAATTCAGGGTGTTAACACCACCTACCAATTTTCCAAATATTGTGTGCTTTCCATCTAGTTGCTTACAGGATCGAAATGTTATGAAACTGTGGAAATAAAAATAATAACATTATATATTATGCAATTTATTATTAAACAGCTTATATAACAGGTTTAATCAAATGGCTCGGTCTATTACACTCGGTCGTTAGCCTGAATACAAGTGCCAATGGAATTTGGGTAAACAACTAAGTGTAAATGAACAGAGTTGAGTATGCCTATATTTGGGTAGTTTTCGTTTTGGTTAGCCGACCCTTTATTCCAGTGTAAATATTGCTTCTGGTGCCTGAATTCAAGTAATGCCTTTCGTGCACACAGTGTATTGGGTTAACAAATATATAATTATGTAAACTAACTGACAAATACATATAAATGTAATTGAGCCTTTCAGTACTATTTGTGGGGTGTGGTCATTGAAAATAGTATACATATTTTCTAAACAAAATACTCACAATTGTGATCCATTGGTATTTGGGCCAGAATTTGCCATGGAGAGGATACCTCTGCCAGTATGGTGAAGATTAGGACGTATCTCATCTTCAAATGGTTTCTTCCATATTGATTCGCCCCCTAGTCCTGTACCTGTTGGATCTCCACCTTGAATCTAAAAAAGAAATAATTTACTTAGAATTTTTAATAACCTATTATCCTCAATTGTAAATAGAAATATAGGTGATTGTAATCATCTATATATATAAAAATGAAACCCGTTTTCCGTTGTCATGACATAACATGAAAACGGCTTGACCGATTTGGCCGATTTTTTTTTTGTAGTTTTCTAATACTCTGTACAAGGTTCTTACGGAAAAAAATATAAAGATAAATAAAAAAATTGAATAGGTACTCATACATAAGATAGGTCAGCTATACAAAATAAAGTAGTGCATCAAAGCTACGCTAAGGCGGTAACGAAGTTCGCCGGGTCAGCTAGTTTTAGATAAATAAAGTTGAAAAACAAATGAAATAACAGTTTTTTTTGTTTATTTTCTTACCATGAAATTTCTTATTGATCGGTGAAATTTTGTTCCATTATAATAGCCTTTATTGCATAACTTTATGAAGTTGTCACAAGCTTTTGGTGTTACATCACAATACAATTCAAAATTTAATGGGCCATATTGGGTTATCAATCTAACATATCCTGTAAAATAAATATTTTAGATTGTACAATAAACATTAAAAAAATCCTTGTAAAATCTCCTTTATTCACAACTGAAACCTGAAACTGTCAGTACAAGTAATAAGTAAAGTAAAATCCGTTTATTATGACTCGGCCTATATTGATTAACCGCCTATTATGACGTAATTACACAACGAAGTTTGGTTTTCATATAAAATTCGTTGTAGTGTAGGAATGTCGGATATTATGATTTCGCTTGTGTCGTTTATTCGTTTATTATGAACCATTTTTAATCAATTTTGTCCGTTTATAGTGACCGACATGGTTCTTTACACTTACGGTAATGTTCGTTGATTCCCGACAACGTTCAGCACGTGGCTCGTTTTTCTTTTGAATCACAGTGAGTAATTTACATTTGAACATCACGCATTGTTTTTAGTGTATGACTTCCGCTAGTATGTTTGTCGATTGCCTTCGAAGTCATAATAAGCGGATTCTACTGTATTTGTTTATTATTTTATATTTTAGTTCCTAAGGTAGATTTTGATAAGATTACCAGAGCTGGGGGTGGTCGGTACCGTACATAGGTATCTACAACATAAGCATATCTTTGCAACTTGACTTTATCATAACAATACATGGATGGCTTATGTACGATACCCTTACATTGTTTTGTTACAAAATAAATTTACCTTTCTTCTTGACTCTTTCATATTTTACTTCATCCTCACAAATAATAGCTGCTTCGTGTACTGTTTCTGGGACCATAGCAGTTGAAGTGAAGCTGGCGGCCACCATTCCAGTAGAATAATGTGCTGCATTAAATTTATCTGCAACCTAAAGATATGTATACAGTGGTGGGAACATAATTAAAGACAACCCCTAATTAACCACAAAAAACTTACTTATGGTACTAACATTAACTAAAATTGGTATTTAATCCAGTTTAATTGTTATTAAACCATACATGACATTGTATTATTACAATGTAATAACTGAAAATAGTTGTGTTCGTTAGTAGTTTAGACACTGCTCACTATGGGAATGTAACACTTTTTTAACGTATTTATAGCTGGCCAGCTAATTAAAGACACTCGATTTGCTTAGAAGAAATATTGTTATTATTGAAATTATCCTTATTACACAATATTCCTAAAACATTTATAAAACTCTCCAGTATGTATCAATATTTGGTTGCATGGCCTTTGGCAGAAATGACAGTACAACATCTCTTGGACATGGAAGCGATCAAGTTTTTACAAGCTTCCACCGGAATTTGCTTCCAAGCTTTTCTAAAAGCTCTCGCCACTATCTTCTTCACCTGGTACCACAAATTTTCTATGGGTCTGAATCAGGACTGTACGGGGGTCAATCCAAAACTGTCACAAATTGGTTTCTTAAACAGTCTTTAATACTTTTGCAGGGTGTTGGAAAGGTAGCATGGCTTGTTTTAAAATATTCTTGTACTGAAATTTATCCATGTTGCCTTCTATTTTCCTGAGCCTTTGCAACTTTGATATTTCCGCCCCCATGTTTAACTACTTTCTTGGTATACTTTGGATCCATTTCTTTGTTCGGGGGCATCTAATATATTGTTTTCTGTCAGAATTAATTATATTAATTTGTGCTTCCTCAGAGAAAAGCACATGATTCCATTCTCGTTCAGTCCAGTGTACATATTTTTTAGCAAATACTAATCTTGCTTTAACATTTTGCTTTTTCAAAAGTGGCACCTTCCGAGATACTCTTCCGTACAAGTTTGCCTCACATAGTCTCAGTCTAATTGTTCTTGTTGTTTTATAGCATTTATAACCACGTCCTTAGAGCATTTCAAGTGGTTTGCTATTTTTCTGTAGGACCAATCTTTATTATAAAAGTTGAAAATAATCTTCCTAGTGGACGAATCGCAATTTTTGTTTTTTCGCATATTGCTGGGTTTAAAATGTATTACTTATAATTAAAAAAATTAGGTTTTATATCTAATATCGACATTTCATGAAAATACACGACAAAACAAAGAAAAACAGAATGCAGTTTTTTCTTTATTTTTTTAAATTCAGAACATAGCTTTTACTGTCTTTAGATTAGATTCGCCAGCTACAAGTATGTTAAAAAAGTTTGTATTATGTTCCCACAGTGAGCAGTGTCTAAACTACTAACGAACACAACTATTTTTGTAAGAATACAATGTCGTGTATAGTTTTAATAACAATTACACTAGATCAAATACCAATTTTAGTACCATAAGTAAGTTTTTTGTGTTCAATTAGGGAGTGTCTTAAATTATGTGACCACCACTGTATTTCCACTCCTAAGAGAGATCTGCCAATCTTGAGTCATTAATCGTTGCCACAAAACCAAAACAGGTCTATAATTATAATGGAGACAGACTGCTCTTCTACTCCTGAGTCATAACCTATGCAAGGCCTGTGCTCTTGCAGTGAGAATTATTCTTTGATGATGTTAAGATAAAACCCTTTTTGGAAAAGAACTTTAGAAAAGTTTTTGTTATTTTCTTAAGACCTTCTTTTGTCAATAATTATTAACTGAATCAAGTATGGATAATTTATATTTATCAGGTATTTGAAATGAAATGTATGGCTATTAACAAATACCTCCAAGTTTAAATCTTATCAATTACCTCTTTTTTAACCTGTTGCTTCTCAGGAGCCTTATATTCTCTTTCTAATTCTTGTAAAATATCTTTTGTTTCAGCTGACACTGTTTTTAACCTTGCTTTAGGATCTTTTTTCATCGCTATTTCCTCTGAAACATTATATAATATTTTATAAAAAAAAAGAGCTAACATAAAGTTTGTTAAATATTTATTAAGTCAATAATAATACCTTCTGTTTCAACTCTTAGATTATTTTTAATATGGTGGAATGTAGATATGTTAAACTTGCTCAAATTGTTTGGATCTTGTATAGTAATAATGTCACTCCTCGCAAATGGGGTATCATCAACCAAGTCTTTGAAGTTCTTGCCTTTGATATTAAGCTGTTCCACGGCCTCATGTGAATACACATTGCCAGTAACACGTATTGCAACAATGTGCGAGTTCTTTGTAAAAGGTTTAAATAGAACAGGGCAGTGGTAATCATCTTCCGCATTTTTATGAAAATTAAGTTTAAATAAAGTCTTGACATCAAATTTCTAAAACAAAATCAATGTTTATATACCAACAAACTCAACAAGAGAAATGTTACATTAAATAACCTTACCTTGCCAGTAACCGGATTGATTTTGAATTTTTTCACAAATTCTATAATAGCTTGTAATTCAAATATATTCCCATCAGCATCGCAGTATGGATCATCAAACGGTTGCAAGCACAAGCAGCAATGGTCAAAGGGAAGTCTTTTAAAGGATGTGTCTTCTTCCACTGTAGTTCCTGATCTTTTCCCTCCGTACAACGTAGTCCATTCTGTGTATGTGAGATACCTGATACAAGAAATATGAATGGTAAAATAGCAGATAAACATAATATAAGTTAAGAGCGTGAACATTTACAAAATAAAGTTTCATACATTTTATCCTTTTGATGTTGTCGTTTACCCATTTTGAAACAGGTGTTATTCCTGATTAAATCAATAAATTCTGAAATTCGTGTAGTATAAAGCCCAGCCAATAACTTTATTTTTTACATCAATATTTACGATTTTACGATACGAATCCATAAAAAGTAGATTAGATTAGATTAGATTTCTTCAGTGATGGCTCCCTCAGGATTTGGCCAATATCTGGTGTTTGTGTCCAAAATTTCTTGTCTATGTTTGTTCGGTGAGGGAAGTACCACAGAGAGCATACAAACAAAAGTATGACGTCTGTCGTCACAATCTGGGCCACTGACCCACAGACTACTCAGACACCAAGTAATCTAATCAGCCGGCTAATTCGCTACTTTTTTGACATATAGTGGTGCCGATTCTGGTGTGATTCTCTAACATAAAACCAAGGAACTTAGGTGGTTTTCCAATTACAGAGCATAATGCGACTCAGTGGCGCACAATGCCGAATTATGCTGATGATGGGATTGTTACCACTTCTTGACCTGTCATCTACACTAGAGTCTTCATTGTATCGTTTGATGGTACGAGAAACGAATCTTTTGGTTGTAATCAAAATTTTCAGCATGTCAAAAATTTGAATTGGCGCGTAACCGCCACGATGCAACTTGCGCTAGCATCACTATATAGTTTGTGGATGCAACCAAAGAGTAAAGTAAGTATACCAAGATGCAACGCAATAACTGCAACACGGTCTTCTATAAGCGTCCACTCCATATCGTGGTTATGCAGGCAAAACCAATTTTGACGACTTTATCAAAAAAATTTTTATTGCATGCATCGACTAAGTTTTTTCTGCTCTGTCGGCAGGTAAAACCCTTTTCTTCATCAAACGCTCCGTTTCGAAGTTACCGCATGTAAAAACCAATTTTAAGACTAGTTAGCCGTGCAAGGCTGCAATAAAAATAATTTATGTTGACATAATAAAATTTTTACCGGTTCGGATCCCATGCAAAACAAAATAACACAGTAAAAATGGTTTTCCTTTACAGGGTTTACTGTAATCTTTGTGTGATTTCATCTACAAAATCAAATTACATGAAGATAACATACCCAAGAACTATTATGATTTCAGGCAAAACATAGTATTATCATGTACTTGCTTTTCCGCGAAGTAATTCATTAGTGTATATATCAATTTGATCCTAGCAAAAAGTTTATTTGCGTCTAAATGTGTTTTGTTTGAACGAATTTAAAACACGCGCGAATGAAATACCTTCAGCGAAAACCAATTATTCACATATCGTGGTACGGATCGCTGGGTTGCTAGAAATCCTAAAATCCACGATTTGTATCAAATATCGTTGATAAATATCGAGCGTCTAGTCTCTAATCGATATTTATTGCGTCAGTATTAATATTGTCAGCGATGGAAGAGGATGCGCATATTGAGGCGGCGGCGCCCGCCGTACCTCATACAAACAACCAAAACAAAAGCACTTGAAACAATTCATACTAGTGTTAAAACACTACCAGAGGTATAGGACAGCTCAAGTGCCGACACTGTAAATAAAGTGAAAAGGGCGAATGCCTATGAGCAACTATTTGAATTTAAAAAAGAATTAAACCTGGCGCGACTACCAAAGATGTCATTGCGAAGATAAACTCATTAAAATCGAATTAAATAGGAAAGAATTAAAAAAAATAACCGATTCGAAGCGATCTGGTGCTTCTACGGAAAATGTGTACGGGATCAAATACTATGTTCCTTTCACGCACAATGGTCCAATAATTAGGACTAAGTGCGGAAACCGCCCTGAAGAACTAACTAACTAACTATATTCCTAAAACATATAAAGTAGGCGAAACTACTACATTTTGCTTAAAGCAGGTTTTTGCCAATAAAAGCTTTCTTAAAAATAAAAACTGTATTATTAAGGTATAGAGCAGCAAAATATATACTAATTTTAAAAATAAAGTAAATATTTTAATCATATACTATATGTTTTTCCATTTTTTTGCCTTCTACTATATTTTAGAGGTAACAGCTTCGAAAATACTATATTTGATAGAAAAAAAGTTGTTAACCCTATATACAATCCAAAGTCTTGGGTATTTTATATTATCACTCATAGCTTTATTTATACTGTAATACGAAACTTACGAGTGTACTCAATGAAATTTACTGTCGTACTGACGTGATTCGTATCGTGTGTGTAGTATAAGAAAATATTACTAGATAAATATCACGTTAAATATCGAGATACATATCGAGCGTGTAGCAGTCGCCTATATAGACCAGTATACGCTGAGCTCTTGTCTGTACCCCGCGTAGTACGAATAAGTTTATACTGGTACTGTCTAATTTGACGTGAGATTCATAAGGTATAGTATACAGAATGTAACAAAATGTCGAAATAACATTTAAGGGCCTGATTCTGCTGTTTAAGTATGTTTTGGTATGGTAGAATTTGGGTGCTTAAGAATAAGGTTACCTGGCACAGATTCGTATGTGCCAGGTAACTTGTTTCTTTATGTAAGCACTCTTTGAAGTTTCTACCTACCTGAGCAACAGAATCAGCCCCCTTTTTTTTTTTATAGATAGGTCCGACAAATGACTCCACCCCACCTGATGTTAAGTGAAGGTGAAGTCCAGACGTGAAGATAGCTGATACAGTAGTTTTACCTGCCACACCAGCCATCCTCACCCTGCCGGCCTGCATGTTGCTTCTTCACGCCTCTTTTAAAGGATCCCAGGTTGTAAGAGGGAAGGAACACGTGAGCGGGCAGAGCATTCTATTTACGGATAGTGTGACAAAGAAATGAGTCACCAAATTTCTTTGTACGCGTTGGAATTGTGGCCACAGTTAGACGGTGACAACGTAGGCCAGCGCGCGTGGTGCTCTGAAGGAAAGGAGAAGGTGGGATAAGAGAGATTAACTCCTCAGAACACTTGCCGTGGTACAAACGATAGAACGCGCTTAGTGACGCCACATCACGGCGTAATTGAAGAGGCTCAATTTTGTCTATAATTTCGACATTTTGTATAATTCATTAAGGTTTTATGTAAATTGGCGGAAATATTTTTAATGATTGTTTAGGATGTCAGATTAAATATGCCTTCCAGTAAACAATATCTATCTGTGCCCATCAGTGACGCAAAGAAAAAAGATTTAATTAATTTATGTGCAAAAAACGTTATTCCCGAAGAATACCAGGAATGGTTGAAATCACTTCCAAGTGAAAAAGATAAAAAGGATCAGGTAATACCTGATGCAACGCTTTCCGATGAAGAGTATTATCCAAATGATGATTAAGATTTTAAACTTAATCATCATTTGGATCATACCCTTTATTTTAATATAAATTTTCTTTTTGTTCACGTTTCGTAAATTTGTCTCCTTTTCATTTTAATAAATAATTTCAATGTATTTTTATTTTTATTCAGTAAATACTAATTAAGTACATTTTTTTTAAGTTTTGACGACTTACCATATTTCTCTTCCTAACTAGTTCAGGAAAAACCAAGTTTAAATTAGGAATTATCGTAGATGTGCTCACAATTTTGTGTATATTTGTTTTTTTATAAAGTATGTAGATATTACATTTAAAATACTACCACGTCATTTATGATATTTATACGTAATGTGAATGATTCTCTAGATAATCACGATTTTTATTCACCAGGGAAAACCAATTACGAATGGTCCATTTTTTGTTTGAACAAATAATTTGCATACTTCCCTTTTCTTTTTCATATTAAAGTTGTACTTTAACCCAAAATGATGAATTCAGGCCCACCATGACCATACTTCTGGTTGCATTAAAAAGATCTTTAAAACTTTAAAAGGGCTTTGAACTTTATGTAGCGGATTTCTCGATTTGGTTAAATGTCGCATAATTGGTTTTGCCTGCATAACCACGATATTTAAAAATGAGTAAAATTCTAATGGTAGCCATACACACTACAAGAAATCGTTACGATCAGACTGTACGATTCGAACGGAACAGTTTATCTTACATGGCATATAAGTCATACACACTACGAGTAATCGTTACGATCAGACGGTACAATAAACGGCGCCGACGCACACGTGTCAGTGATGGCTTCGACGGACGACGTTTTAGCAGTTGTTGGATTAATATTCGCACTGAAGGAAAATAAAGTGAAGCAAAAAAATCGTAGCATCTGGTGCAAAGAATGGCTAATGAAAAGAATAGTGCATTCTCATGTCAATTTGTTATCGGAATTAAATAATGTTTTCAAAAGACTTGCAATTTTTTTTAAGAATGGATCATGATACATACTTACATCTACTGAATACGTCTAGATTAATCGGTACAGTTCATCCGATTGTCTTTTCCTATCCAAAATCTGGCGTAATTATTTTGACTGCAATGACCTCATAAAACAGATTTATATTCGTATTCCCAGCAGTTCAAAGCGTATAAGAGATACCTATTCTCATAAACTATTTTTCCCCAAACAGTGCAGAACGAATGCAGGTGAACGCGCACCCCTACGTCGAATAATGAACTTTTTAATTGACAACCTATCTGATTTCCATTTGTTTACAATGTATTTTATTCAATATAAAAAGGCCATTACTGATTGTTTACCAAACATTTAAAAATGAAACTTTAAGGGTTCCTTATCAGGACTAGGGAATCCTCAAAAGCAAGTGTCATTATAATTCCTATAAAAACTCATTATTGACGACTAGGTTTAGTATAGTTTAGTAGTATCTTAACTGTGATTAATATCTACCTACCCAAAACCCAAGTCAACACAAAACATAAGGGTACCTAGAAAGAATAGTTACCGTTTGAAAACTCTAAAAAAAGTCCGCGACAGCATAGTCCATTGATCTTAATTGACACACTATATTTTTATGGCAATCTTTGTTACGCAAAATTTTATCTCAATCGGTTGAGGATAACTGAAAATTCATTTGCAGATTTGACTCGAACATACATACATATATTTCAAGTTAGTTCAATAAAAGCCAGTACATTGACTCATAATAAACTACTTTTAACATCATTACCTATTTAATTTAACAATATAAACAAGATAACCCAGCTGCATTGAGCGCTTTGTAGTGAATGGTAGGGTGGGTATAGGGCAAGTCACCATACTTGAGTTCGATGGGATCGAGCTCTGTGACGTCACACACTCTGGCCGTTTATTCCGCCCGTCGATAAAAATTGGCTTTATAAAAAGCGTTATAAAATTGCAACAGATGACCGATTTCGATGATTTAAAAAGTATATTGATGTGAAAGCTTTTGAGAAATGGTTTTGAATTGATCTGTTGACTTCGAAATGGTCCTCATTGAAATTAAATAAAGCAGCAAGGTGACAAAGAAGTATTACGCAGAACTTTTATGAGAATATGTTAATTAATTATTAGTTTTCGATTGAATTTAAGTCAAAATAAAAAGACTTTGAACAGCTCAATATTCATCATATCAATATCGTGAAAGTTTTTCTTAACCCTGCTGTATGGGATAAAATAGACAAAAAAAATCTATGCTAATAACTGTTGCCGATACGAGTCCCACGAACGTAGTAGCGAAATACTTCGTTCCTTGATACTGCGTTCTCTCAGCTCTTTACAGAATTAATGGAAGAGGAGACCGTTGTCAAAAGTTTTCAGTTTAGAGAATCATGCCCAATAATATTACAATATAACTCACTGTGAATTAAGTAGCGTATGAATATGAAGTATTCAATAAAATAAGAAATTGAATAAATGAATGAATTAAATATTGAGAATGGCAACACGATGCTGTTGCTTTTTTTTTTCAACTAAAAAAGTTCGAAAATTTCCGCTTGCACTCGTGTTTAGTTGTGATTTTTTCAATAAATCAGCGTTAACAATAAAATAAATATATTTTACTGTTTTTATTTTCAAACATCTTTGAGTACTACTTTAGAAAAGGCCTTTTATGAGATGGAATAGTAAGTTTTGGATTTTTTTAAAATTTATGCTAGTGTGTATTCTGTGGAATTTCACTTTGTTTGTGTTGGTGAGGTTGATGAACAAATGGTTGAAATGTGATAGAAGTGTTTTCGAGATTTCTAACGCTGATAGAAACAAGAAGACTACTTACTAAGAAGGTAATTTTGTGTATCTTTTATTCTAGGTGTGTAAGAATGGGAAAGTAACAAGCAGCACACAATTTGCGCTTACAGTGCGGAGCTTTCTACACACTTACACAGGAGTTTGCGTGGGTATAAAAGTGCAAAAGTTTTATGATTTCTGGATGAAGTAATTTTCTCATACTTGTTGTGTACTGGGGAGCTGTTATATCTTGACCTGGGTCACTGCTGAATCGAAAAAATAGGATAACGCCAGCTTACAAGATGGCCGACTGTTATTCGTAAGGTACAATTATTCCTTTTCCATTGATTAGTTCATAGTTTATTTGATTTATTATATCATAGAATATCGATTCAGTTACTAAAAACCAAATGGTTGATAATTTAATGAGTTAAAACTTGTAGTTACACTCACGTCCTTTGTTCTTGTTCTTGCTCAAAAAATCGGCTTTTTTTGTCTCGCCAATTTCTGATTATTATCCACTTGTTCAAGAATGTTATCATTTTTTAATTTTTACATGTGGTCGACTAAGTTTTGCTTCTTATTTTCTTTTTAAGTTTTTTTTAGTTTATATATTTTGTGGTTATTTTTGTATGAAAATTAAAAAAATCCGCTTTTTTATTTTTAAAATTTAGTTTGCTTTCATTTTAGTTTAGCGTTTTCAGTTTGGTGCTTTTAGATAATGTCTGGTGCATCTGGTTCATCAGGAAGTGGCACAGGACGTGGTCGGGGTGGAGCAGGCTCAAGTAACTTGGTCACCGACAGCAAACCAGACTCAAAAGAAAATAAACCCAACCCGAAAATGTCAAAGGCACTTGGCACCTCAGCAAAGAGGATTCAGAAAGAGCTTGCAGAGATAACTTTAGATCCACCACCTAATTGCAGTGCTGGACCAAAGGGTGACAACCTGTATGAATGGGTTTCCACTATATTAGGACCACCTGGCTCCGTATATGAGGGGGGTGTTTTCTTCCTTGACATACATTTTTCGCCGGAGTATCCTTTCAAGCCTCCCAAGGTAAACATGTTCTTTTTCTGATTTAATTACATATTTCTTTTCACAAGTACAAAATACTTAAATAGTTGTATTTACAAGTACTAGACACATTTACAGATTTTGTTCCTGTACAAGCTTGATTAACATTTAACTAAATACTAAATATGTACTGACAAGTTGAAATTGGTTAAGAAATATATAATGTAAAATTTAGCTTGCAACTGATATACAATAAATTGCATTAAAAATAGGTGGTGATGTTCTATTTTGATAATATTTTGAACTGAAATCAAAGCAAATTATTTTACAGGTAACATTCCGAACTAGGATATATCATTGTAACATCAACAGCCAAGGTGTGATATGCTTAGATATATTAAAGGACAACTGGTCTCCTGCACTTACAATATCAAAAGTTCTACTTTCCATTTGTTCTCTGCTTACGGATTGCAATCCAGGTTTGTGAATTTCATAATATGTTTTATTTTCTTGTAAGATGAAATGAAACTGCATTGGCCCTGATTCTTTGAACTTAAAATTCTATTTTTCAACAGTGTATCCTTGTAGTGTTCTATATAGAATAAGAAGAAGAGACTGTTGTCAAATTTAGTTTTAATATTAATTGTGCGTTAAAATTTGCAAAGAAAATGATTGAACACAAAATATAAATTTTTATCTAAAGAAAATTGTCCTAAAAAAATTTTTTTATTTGTAATGGATGGCTTTATAATGTGAGATGGATGTGAGAACTGAAAAATAATAAAAACATTTGATGTAAAAATGCTGTAGATACATTTTGAATATAAAAGCTGTTTTTTAGCCTTTTAGTTAATGTTTTTTTCTATTTTTTATATTTACAGCGGATCCATTAGTGGGCAGCATTGCAACACAATATCTGCAGAATAGAGAGGAGCATGATCGCATTGCACGCCTCTGGACCAAGCGTTATGCGACATGATTGCACTGCCCCTCCACTCCAGCCAAGGAACAACTTAAAGTATCATACTCAATACCATTCTGTTTTAAATCCATCCTGTTCACATAAATAATAAGCTTAAAATGTTATTTAAAATATCTAAACAACAGTAACATTTTTGCATTGTGACCAAGAATTTTGTGATCATTTCAGTAACTTCTTCAAGCTGTCAAGTTTGAATTTAAGCTGCAGAAAATGCATGTTGTATCTTATGGCTTCTTAATATTTAGTTGCAATTAATGTGATGTTGATAAGCTTGTGGTGGTCTCAAATATATAATTTTGAGATTTTATTGACTTTAGTTATGTACTGATTGGTTTTCGTTAATGGTTTTATGTAACTATTATTGTACCCGAACGAAAACGGTGATAACTATATATCTTAACATGTTGTACATTGAATAATTTGAAAATGTTAACTTCTCTTCTTATATAGCATAAGAGAGATTTAACATGACTAAATTATCGTTGTGATGAGGATATGTATGTGACATTTTTACTATTAGATATTATAACCGGTGAATTGAGTCAATTGTACCGCAACAAACTGCGATGATCTCAAACACTAGTAACAATTTTAAGTATCTGCTGTGACCTATTGATATGATATTTGGAATAAATTGAATTGTCTGTGAAACAGTAAATTTTGTTTTTGTTGGGAGTTTTAAAGGCACAAATATTCAAACGCTAAATTTACTTTCACATTGATTATCATATAATTTCATTGCTTCACTGGTTCAATTCAACAGTTTAATTGCTGATTTTAGTTCACTTTGATTTTGTTACATTGTAGAATATTCATGTTTTCCTTCTGACGTATTTTTGCAGCTGTTTCAGTAAATATTACAACTTTAAGAATGTAGATTACGAGTTATATAACGATATTCTGAAAAACTTTCATCTGTACACAACACTACAAGTCTGCAAGTGACCTTTTGTGCAAGCTTTGAGCAAATATTAACTGCAGTCAGATTCTTAAGCAACCAATCTTTTTAAACAAGATTCACTATTAACTAGGCTTTATTTAATAATTCGAACAAAGCTACATTGTCCGAAAAGTATATACCTATATAAAAATAAGATTTAGGTACTTTTAATAAATAACATTGATTACTTCGTCCTTGGATTTAATGCATTTTATAGTAGTAATTTAACTATCCTAATTTAGGGTCTGTCTTTATTTTATCAGGCCTTATTTGTAATGTTTTTATGTAAAAATGTAGCTAATTATATAGTTGTTTTAATTATTGAAATTGGTTACATTAAATGATAGGCCAATTTATTTCCAAACCAAAAGCATTCACAGACTGTAAGTATATGGAAGAATTTTAGGTTTCCACCGGACATGGTAGGTTATGTAAAGATTGCAGACCCAATTTTTTTGCATTGCGTAATATCATTTGGCTTATATACTGTACCCTTAGTATGAGTTTTACAATTACGAAAACTATGATAGTTTTCGCGAGCTCGCACTCGTACTAAGGGTACTGATTTTATTGTTTTCGTTTCCATACAAATAAGCACTGTTTAAATTATATCATTAAATCATTTGCGTCTACTTAAATTTTAAGTATATTTGGTTATTTTTCACCAAAATGGACATAGAAACATAATTTACTATTACGAAAACTATGATAGTTTTCGTGAGCTCAAACTAAGTACTCGTACTCTTATAACGGGCGTACCCAGAAATTTCAATTAAATTAAAACATTAAATGATATAGTATTACTATGCTATAACTTCATGGTTCTTGTTTAGTTAGCGCAAGTCGTAGCACATTCAAGGGATTCACGGGTGTGACTTATCGATTAATTAAAAAAATGTTAAAATCACAGAATATTTTATGTAACATAGAATGAATAAATAAAGGTTTCCTGAATGTTAAAATAAGTCAGTTTAGTTCTGAATGCATAAAAAATGCATTTTAGGAAATTTCAATTTAGATGTTTCCAATAAATAAATACCAATCCATAGGTGACATTGCAGTGTCACTATTTTAGAACTCCAGCCCCCCTAGCATGAGCACTCCGATAGGATATTTAACGCTTTTTTATCACGCTCAATTGTCAAATTACTATGGAGTTTGACAGATAGATGCGATAAAAAACGCGATATAATGTAAAGTGTAGTGCTAATGCTGATTGTAACAGCGCCGTACTCATATTTGAAGTCGCTGCCGACTTTTCAACCGCCATAATGCCGCAATTACATTTGGTCGTCAGCCCGTATTCGGGTGCACTAAAGATAGGGCTGCCATCTCTAAAATGTGGCAACCAGGATAAGACGCGTGATAACCCCGGATTTTGAAGCCCAGAACCCGGACAGACTAATAAAAAATGTCACAAATCAACTTTTTTATGTTGTTCCCCAAACTTTTTTGTATCGTAGACCCCTTGCCATGTTTTTTCCGTGTTGGGTAGACCCCGTACTTACCTGATATTGATTTTTTTTTCGCTGACGTAGACCCCTTGCAGGTTGTCATAAACCCCTAGGGGTCGATATAGACCACTTTGGGTATCACTGATCTAGGCAAAAGAGCTAGCGGTCTACCTCATAATAAGTGGTCACTGCTGCCCATGGACACTTGCAGCGCCAAGGGCGAATCTTGCGTTGCCGTAAAATTTTAAACCCGGACTACAAATAAAACCCCGCCCGGACGCTCCCCGGACGCCCCGTAAACTAGGACAAATCCGGGGAAACCCGGACGGATGGCAGCACTAACTAAAGACATTACTAAAATTCGGGCACCCGAAGCAATATTTACACTGGAAAACGGTGTCGGGTAACCAAAACGAAATCTACCCGTCTACGGGCTACTCGACTGTTCATTAAAACTTAAGTGCCCTAAAGTGTTGAATGCTGGATAACGTAGTTTCTAGATTTTTTACAATGCCTACTTATTTTTTTTTATTCTTCTGCGCACACAAATTATCCATATAAAGACTTGCGGATTATCAATTTTGTTTAATGTAAAGATTTATCTTTATTTAAAATATTCATTCTTATAACCCATATAAAGTTTGTCTACAAAGACAGATAAAGGCAGGATTTTATATATGCAGTAAAACATATCTATTTCTACTAAGTTTAAGTACCTACTAAGTAAGATTTGTTTCGTGTCAACTAATTAAGTGCCAAAATTGGGCACCTGGCCTCTACTCCTCCAGTCTGACGTTACTCCAACATTGTCTAAAATATTCCGTTTAGGATGTAAACAGTTACTAGATGTAAGTTATTTTATTGTCTAGGTAATGTATGTCTTAACCCTAGTTTTAAATAGATATTTAGCATTGTAATGATTTTAGCGAAAAATGTATGTCGCGCGTATATGAATGTTTTGGTGATAGTGTAATGGAAGATTTCATTGTATATTTATAATAAATGAATTTGGCGACTTCATTAGTAGCGAAACTGGTGCTGTGAGATTCAAATGCTTGCGACATACAAGAGAGATGAATACTGTGTCTGTATTCGGGACTGGATATATTTTGTCAATGTGATTTTTTAATTATTTTGTACTGTGAATCGAAATGTGTTGCTTGCAAGACGACCGCTGTATATCTAACGCGACTGATGTTCCTCAAACTAAATGTTCATAATTCTGTCCCTTATAATCATCCTTTGTTACAATTTGTATCATGGTATAAAATAGGAAATAAAATGTGTGTAACTAGGACAATGACGGCTGTTTTATTTATTAACATAATGAAACATTCGAACCGTTTGGTTATAACTACGTGCGTAGTACGACGATATTAAATACCCTACACTACATACACACCGTGCGCTCAAAATGTGTCCCAATTTAAGAAGTGCTTGAACACCACTCAAGCACTTCTTGGTTCACAGTCACGCGCGGACCGTTGAACAGTCAAGCTGTCACAAAGCTCTGTGAAAAAAATGCGATAAAAATACTACTTATAGTATCGGAAGTGTCGTTTTTTCGACATCAAAAAATGTTTTTTAATTTAACGCATCTGAAGCAAATTTTGTTCTAATACATACTATAAATTGATTTAATAGAACAATTATTTTCTATTCATAGTCTGTAATATAGCCGCCTCTTTCCTCGCGGCGACCTGCAATATTGCTATAAGCGCATTCAGAATTGCGCGTAGAGTCAAAGAAATAGTCTCTATTCTTGCGCATAAAGCAATGTCGTAAAATTTTACGAGCTTTTATTTCGAACTAACTAAACTCTGAAGCATGCATTTTAATTAAGATCTTATATAGTATGGATTAAAGGTGACTTTCAATGTTTTAATAATGCCTTATATTGTTTTTTTGAGTGTGCTGTTAGTCGCAGATGATCGCTTTACGTGTCCGTGATGCTAGCGTACCCACGATCAATATACGGTTTTTCGTTATGCCATTAAATACTTCGTAAATAGTGCCAAATTAGTGTAAAAGTAAAAAAAATAGTGCCTCTTTAATTTAAGAAATAAAGACCATTTTTACTGTGTACGCTACCATGACGTCAAGCTAACGTACCCATGGCCGACCCCAAGAACGGCATATATTTAAGCAACGAAATTGACACACAAAAATAGTTCGCAAATAGTGCCCTGGCTCCACTCTAGACTGAGGGGGTCGGCTCAACTAGAGGGCGTCTCCGAGACTCTGACCTCGGCTCTAGTTAGCCGTTGTCGTGGGGGGCGGGGAGAAGACTAGGCGATCATCTTACGGATTCCGTGGATCGTCCAATGTAGGTAGGGAGCGTTCAAGTATTACGTAACGCAATTTGGGAGGGAGGGAGGATTTAAATTGTGTGATTATTTATTGAATAAATATATATATGTATCAATTAAATACGCATCTATTGCGAATTAGAAATCGATTTTTTTAATTATTAATTACATTCAAACGCGATTAAAACAATAACAAAAGTAATTAAGCGACTTTCCGGTAGTTTGCGCAACAAAGTTGTGACATGTGTATCTAGGGTATTTAATATCGTTGGCGTAGTATTAAGATTGTGCTTTAATTTTATTTTTTGTATTTTTTGGCGCTTTTGCACAATGCAGATTAATTTCAGTTGAATAGCAGTCAACATGTCAAATTGTTTTTGGCCAACAAATCTTTCAAATGCTCAATATGCAGTCGTTTGGGTACCTATAAGTACGTACCTTTCCCGATGGTGACTAGCCTTCGGTTCGTACACTTATTAAATTATCATTTATTAGGAATAACATGATTTTTTTTCTTTTAGGCTTCCATAAGGTCTCTTGTTCACACACGTTTTTTCAACGTGAAACGCTACGGTAAATTCGCCTTGCGTAGACACGGTTGTCAGTGTTATGTGAGATCAATCTCGCTAAAAAGGCCGGGATTGCATTTCCTATAAATTGCACCTATATTGTATGAAAAGCATGGAGAGCACAAACGATGCAGAGAGAAATAATAGTTGAAACACATGTTCGAGGCAATATTTTATTTCGAACTAAAAGTTACAATCACTTATCTCTTTAATATAAATATACTTAATACCAAACCCGTGCACTAACCAGAAGACAATATCCAGTGACTAGTTTCCAGAGATACCTAGTATGAGGTAACATGCAATACCTAGTGATATCGATCACCAGAAAAGGTAGTAAGCTAACTTCGTGTTATATTTGTCGTCTAGCGAGTATACGACTTTACCGTACAAATATCTAGAAACATTTGGGTATTTAAAACACACTCATTCAATGTTCGCTTTATGTTATGCATCGAGATCATGATACAGCTGTCATATATCATGGTGTAATAAAACGCGTAAATTTTATCAAATGTCTGTCAGGCTGCCCAATAAAGCGAATTTTGAATTTTGTCCAATGTGCACAGCTACATCTACTCGGACTTACATTTAACTTATATAGATAAACATTTGTAATAAGATTCAAGTAGAAAATTGAGATGAATAATGACAATACTTTAATTAATTCCAAGATAATTGGAGATGAATTGATTTGGCGTTTCATTGAAAAACTTCTAAGGAAAAATCAGTCTTCTACCCTGAGCCACAAAGTGAAGATTCTAAACACAGTGCTGCACACGTACCTATATAAGTATCGGCAAACTTCTTGATCAAAACCATGGACAAATAAACTTGCGCAGTAAACGATTTTGTATGTAAAATTGCTACTGCGCGCAGGCTACATTGTCTATGGTCGATTCTCAAGAAGTTGGCCGGGGTGTATATCAGCAATGTTTACTAAAGGATAGGGTACACTCTATGTATAATAATATCTTAAAACGTCGATGCTACAAAACAGTGTATGAAACATAATTATCAAAAACAATTGCAATAAATCCATTCTGCTGTGTATAAATAGAGAACTATAAAAAATACATTTAAAAAATGTTGGATATAATAATAAAAATAAATTAATCTGCGTAGGTACACAATGACACTGTAAACTTAATTAAATCACAACATATACATACATATAGAAGTTTTTAATAGACGTTATTTACTGTTTCTAATATAATAGACACCGATAATAGTGGTTGTAGTGAATCAGCTGCGTTCGATTAGACTGTCTCGTACTGGTTGCGGATAGAGCGAGCGAGACAGCACGAGAATATCACTCCCAGCAACTGGAATATTAATTAAAATATTATCTTTATTAACACTATCACAGACATTGAGAACGATCGTTCGTATTTATTCCTTTTTCTTTCAACTTGGATTCGTAAATAAGAAAGTCAGGTAATATCATGTAACGAGAACTAAAAATCTGTACACATTTGACAATGACATTTCGGACTCGCAAACGATACGAATTCGATATTGATTCGTGCTAGGGGTACTGCTTTATGCATGAGAGTGAAAGAGACTATTTTAGTACGCTCTAATTGGCGGCTGTTGCCAAGGGAAGTTGAGGCGGGGACTATTTGTGCCATTTTAAAATGCAATAATGTTGGCGTATATCCTGTCTATACATTATACGTCATTGCGTAGACCGATAAAAAGTCAATGTCCATTTATTTCCATTTTATTTCAAAACTGTTAATTATATAAATCTAAAGAAAATTTTATTAGAAAAATATCCTGTGTCTTGTTATAATGTGACTCATCTGTATGAGACCGATGCCCCTGACTTCAATAAATAAATATTTCCAACACACACCAATTAGCCTAGCCCCAAATTAAGCACTCTAAGGCTTGTGTTATGGGATACTAGTGTAACGGATAGAATACATATACTGTATATATATAAGTATATTTATATAGAAATACATATTAAACATCCATGACAGAAGTACAAATGCTCGTGTTCATCACACAAACATCTGCCCCCACCGGGATTCGAACCCGGGATCTCTCGAGTCGGCGTACCCATAAAACCCGGCGTTCAAACTACTCGGCCACGAAGGTCGTCAAAATCGTCAATGCAGCCCTTTTGGTGAAGTTCTGACAAATAACCATGATCTACTTTCGGTGCTTCTACAGAAGCTGTAAAATTACGATACTCAATCTCGTTCATAGATAGTCTAAGCATTTCTCTAAATCCTTGTGTCCTGTCCACTCTGTAAAGTTGCGAAGTCAAGATGTCCTTCTTTCAAGATTTTGTTGACCTGCTATAATCTTAACTCTTTTTATAGTGACTCACATATTTTCTTAACTATTTTAAAGGGAATTCTAGACCTTCTTCTTTAAATTTGTCGTTTATCTGCCATTATTATTATTTCCAAGTTGGTGTTATAGTGACTGTACCAGAGCGATGCCCAAACCCGACTCCCTCCATAACAGTGGTGATGCCTCTCCGATAGTCGACCACTTCCCGAGGCAGACCTTCTTTAGAAGGTTCTGATGCCTTGAGCTGTGTGTTGTTACAGCGACTCACCTATATGATCTCGTCTATAGCCAGTCTAAACAGTTCCTCAATTCTTTTGACCTTGAATCCTGCCATGTCTTCTTTCAAAAGTAGCAAATCCAGATGCTCTTTCGTTTACTTGCTAAATTCTAATCTGTTTTTAAAGTTACTCACCTGTATGAGAGCAATGCCCAGCCCGACTCCTCCCAGAACAGTGGCGATGCTTCTCAGGTAGTCGACCACTTCCCCGAGGCAGCCCTTTTTGTGGATGTTCTGGTCGTCGCAGGCTACCACAGCCCCTCCTTTAATCTCTTGCGCGGCGCAGCACGACTCGGGAATGGGCAAGCTGTTGTTCTTCCAGTCACCAGGACCGTAGATACCGCAGCATTGCAACTATTCATGTCAAACAAAAGGATGTTTTTTATTTTTTTATTAAAAAAAAACAAAAGGAATCTTTTTTTATAGAGATTGTTTGTAGAAATTTGGCACTACTGAACCGATTTATCTAATATATAAAATTCTCGTGTCGCGGTGTTTGTGGTTAAACTCCTCCGAAACGGCTTTCCCGATTCTCATGAAATTTTGTGTGCATCATGTGTAGGTCTGAGAATCGGACAACATCTATTTTTCATCCACATAAATGTTAAGGGTAATCCACTCCTAATTTTTTTTTTCAATTTTAGATAACTTTTTTTTTTAATTTTTTTATGATACATCATACAAAAATACATACAACCCTAAATTTTCACCCTTCTAACCACCAACCCCTATTTTTTATGGCGGTACGAAGTTCGCTGGGTCAGCTAGTAATATTCTAAAATTTTACCATTACAGAGTTAATATTCCTGCCCAGTAGGCCTATTCGCTAACTGGTTTTCACAGAAGCAAGTGATAATTACCGAGCTATTTAGTGATCCACTGCTGCTTTATTATAATTATTATAACTTAATTCTCACTATCGACATTTAATGAAGTGACCCAGCGTTGCCAGATTTCCTTCTTGAGAATTTGAGATGTTGGAACTTTTTGAGTGAAAAAAGCAGAACATATTTAAAAAAACGTATATATAAACAGAAGTTACTTTTACGTGACAATAGATGGCAAAAATAGCCATAGAAAATGTATTTTAATAACGTATAATATTTTAATTTTTAAATCTTAACGCTTTCGCTAAATATTTGAGCCTTATTCGTCTTCTGAATAAAAAAAACTGAGCCAGTCCCGCGTGGGACATTTAATTTTGATTTACAAATCGAGTTGTCCCGCTAAAATCTGAACGTCTGGCAACACTAGGTTTTGCAGTCCGAGCGCTTGCAAACAAAAGAATAATATAGAAAAGTCACGGCAAACTCCGCTTGGTTATCACTTAGTCATTATTCTAACATCACAGGATGACACCAAGGTTGCGTTATTCACGGCGGATTTACTCGTTTATCGACTATGATGACGTTTTTTATACTTAGGTTTGAGCTGATTTTACCACCTCACTTGACATGAAGTGGTAGATACGATACACCGGGCGCGAAAATAGGGGGTACAGTAACATTAAGTACCACATGAGTAAAGAAGCAATAAAGACAAAGTTTCAAACGAATGCGCGTGTGTAAGTGACACGGGGGGGGCTGCCACCAGAGTTGCCAACCATATAATTTTGGCACAAAAAGTTCACAGACGCGTCTCAAGCGAACGGAACACACGCTCGCAGTGGTCTTAAGCGGTCCGAGGTATCGTGTCCGTGAGCGGTGTTTATATGTGCGTTGCTCTGTCCTACAAGCACTGGACAACAATATGATGACATCATTTATGAATGCCACTGTAAGTTTACTAATATTTGTAACGACAATAGACTGACCCTACAGTGGATTAAAGAATACAGCGGCTCAAGCGGCAACGATGTGGCGGACTGCTTAGCTAGGGAAGGGTCCGGCCATTGGCCGTCCTGCTGGACCTGCTATCGACAGCTGAGAACCTGGATAAGGGAACGACAACGACATCACGACTAAGCTAGGAAAGCCGTTCCTAAGGTAGACCTGCAGCTATTACCTTAGTTAATAAGACTACCTAGACATCCCCTAAAACAAATCGTGGATGTACTCGCGGGTCACGGCTACTTCAACAAACACTTTTGTAATAAAGGCATTTCTGACAACCCTCTGTGCAGAGCCTGCCTGGAGGAGGAGGAGACGAGCGCCCATGTTCTGCTGGAGTGCAGAGGCGTTGAAAGACAAAGGACTTCTCTAATGGGAAGTCCGCGGATACTAGTAGAGGCCTGCAGCAACATCCGGGGACAGCTGAGCTTACTGGAGGAGCTGGGATGGCAGGACTGATGCCAATCCCCACGCAAAATAGGCACTGGGTGTCGTGTTCCGGAAACAGCCCGCCGTAAGACTAAGGCTCGTATCACAGAATGACAACTAAGTGTTGATCTTTACTTGAGTAGTTAGAAAGGGATGTTGCTATGTGCCATATATAGCATTATCCTTTTCTGACTATGCTCAAGACTAGATTAATTACTGAGAATCTTTCTATAATACGGGCCTAAGACTAATGAGCGTTGCTCAAGCTTATGTAGATTACCTCCTGTAATATCTATTTTGTGTCGCTAGTGCTCACTACACACTCACTGCATGAAGCGTTATTCATGTAGTGGTAGATAGGATACACTTAACTCGAAAATAGTTGCTACATCAGTATTACCTTCCACACCAGCCACTTCACTTTGCTGGATTTGATTTTAAACGTAACTAACGAAACAATGTGAACAATATACTAGTGTTATGAATTCGATTAAGTGCGATGTTTACAAACATTACGATAATGACACCTCTCGCCACATTCGGTATAAGCGGGTTTCCGTGAGTTCGACTACTATGTAGTCATTTGGCTTCTCATAAACCTTGCCATATACTCAATTTCAACCACGCCAGGTTTGATTTTAAAGGACCTCTTTATTGCCATCATACCAAATATCATCAAAATCAATTCAGTGGTGTAAAAGCGTCACAGTGATTATAATTTCACATGTATACTATTAATATGGATTCCTATAGGGACATGCCAACAAAAGAATAGTTTCTGGGTCGATCCGGTCTCTCGGAAGGCTGGACCTAACCGCTCTGTAATTGACATTGATCTAGTAACTTGTAATTGAACTCGATGATCGTTGAATGTCTATCATTTCTACTTTGAGAAGGGAGTTTGGATAACAAGATATGTTAGTAAGTAATGACAAGGATAATAGGAATAATGACTATCTTTTTTTCTTCCCCCTTACAGGTAGATTATCAAAAGGTATGGGATACGTATTTTTTCTTTATTCACATAATCAAAACATTACATAGATATATTGATTTTAAATGTCGCATGACATCACGTCTTGGTACATACGAGCCGCGACTCCCAAATCTTTGTAATTTTTTGGTTGATTGCCAAAAGAAAAAATATGTAGCGAATGCAACTCACATCAGTTTGGATGATGTCGAAGGTCTTCTTGACGTCGTCGTTGGTCGGGTACTCCTTGATGGTGGCGTTCAAATTGCGCATGATCGAATTCTCCAGGTCCGTGTGTTTCATGTAACCCGCGATGCCGACTGCCAGCTCAGCCACGAAGATGATTAGCAGGAACACCGCAAACTGTGGAAAAACGTCGCATCTTATAAGAATTTGCCAACGATATTTTATCGTTGGAATCTGCACTCTAAGACCATATCCGCACATAGGACCACCACAATATGATGATATTAAACAGCGATTTGTATTTTGACAGTCATAGACTAAATTAGAGATGTTAATTTTATGATGCTGGCATACATGGCTTTTAGTCTTCGCTATTGGAAAAATTAAATAAAGAAAAGGCCTTTTGCTCAGCAATGGGCGTCATACGACTGATATGATGATTGGAAGAATTTACAGCAATCTTTTTCATTCCCTATAAAAGGCGCACGTAAAGCTGCAATTTGTTGGATGATGATTTGATTACATACCTATGTAGAAACAATAGATTTTGACAAAACAATAGATAGCTCTTGGTCGAACCAGTTCTAATTCCAATAAATAGTACTCAAAAGATAAAATGTCGTTATAATTATGTGCGTTTAATGAGATAAATAAGAAAAGTACTTAATAGGCATTAATGCAAGACCATGATAAAATAATTAATGTTGAATTAACCGAATGTTACAGGCAAATATTGATATACCTACTTCGATAGATCATAAACCTATTACATCTGCATCTCTAGCCATGAAATTTTACAATAGTTACATAAAGTGCTACATTAAGTAAAGAAAAAGAGCAGTTTAGAGAAACGGATTTCATGTTTAGTCGATGTCGGCGATAAAGAGTGATGTCGATTCTGGCATGATTCTCTAAAGCTAAACTTAAATTTGACAACAGTGCATCCTTGCCGTTCTCTATACAGAATGAAAAGGAGAGACTGATGTTAAATATAGTTTTAAGTTTAGAGAATTACGCCAGAATCGACACAAGTGTCGTGTTAGTCACGTTTCCTTGTGCTTTGGTAGGTGGTTATAGTGAAATACTTATGTAGATTTCAGTGAATATGGTAATTTCAGTAAATCAGGGTAGAGCGAGATTGTTTTTCAGTTCATAGCTTTTTGTTCGACGCTTTCATTTCACAATTTCTTTTTTGCTAGAAAGTTTATCGATTTTTTTTCAATTGGCCCCCCTTGGTTACTTGGTTCCTAGAGCAACTGCTCCACCAGGGTCCTATTTCACCAAATCGACATAATATGTCATTGACATTTGTAATATTTTTGTTTGCCGTTCCGCGCTATGCGACGTAAGGCGCTGCATATTTTTAAGTCGACATTTTGTTAGTAATTCTTGACATGCAATCGGGCTGTGTAGTGTATTACAGTGTTTTCGACGTTGGTAACAAAATGGCTATCCTTGAAAGCTTGAAAAGATGAGTTATACAGGAGAATTATGAAGAACGAATAAATTTCACAATTGAATAAATATCACTGATTTCGGGTTCAAAGAAAAATTAGATATAATAGATCACCCACAATAAACCGTAGCGGTCGGCTTAAATATGTTGATTTGGTCAAATACCGCACAGGACTGGCGCCGCCTGTAGCTTAGTCGTGATAACGTTAAGGTATAATGTACTTACATACACAAATTAATGTGTAACAACATAACACATAACTCCATCAGATCTTAATATTGTTTTGTCTAGAGTTTACAAGTACATAACTTTCTAAATACAAGTGTGAATCACCTAAACAAATCATAGGTCACCTACTGAGTCATATCCGTTCATATCATAACTTACAAATGGTAACCACTTGAGTTGAACGAATTGTCATATCAAAGCGTATTTCTTTTTCCGTGCCGATAAGATGTTTGTTTGGGCAAAAAATAAATCAACACAGAAGGAGATCTAAGTGCACTGGAATGGATTAAAAATGTGTACAAATATTATAAAGAGGTAAAGTTTGTGAGGTTGTAAGAGTAATCTCTGGACCTACTGAATCGATTTTGAAATTACCAATAGAAGCCAGGTAATTTTTTAGGGGTATTAGGATTTGTAAAGTAATTCAGGGAATAAAACGTCGAACAAAAAAGTTACTTACAAACGCTGGTTTAACGATGCGAGATATATATCATCTTTGAGTTCTAGAGAACAGTAACAGTGCTTGATAATGCCTTAAAAGACGTCAGCGACGGCATAATTTTGACTAACTTCTATATTTAAGTCACAAAAAGTTTTTAAATAAACAATTTAAATTGTTAGGTCTTGTTTATTAGTTATATGTATTATGTACAATTATGAATTCTTACTAAATTTAGTAACTTTATCGTCTCAAGTATTTAAAACAAAAGCCTTTTTCAATGTTACTGCTTATAATTTGGACAATGTTTAAAGAGATAATACGACATAAGTATGGAACCGGGACCGCGCGGTCGGTTCCATACGCATCGGACGTTGACAAAATTGAATTTTCGAAACATAAAACGTTCATTTTCGACATTTTTTTATTAAAAAGTTCTATTCAGAACTAGGTACTTTCTGTCTATAAAATAAAATCGCTGCCGCTGACTTTACGCTTACATTTTTAAACTACGCAACGGATTTTAATAATATTATATTATACGAATTAAAATAAGTAGTATTCTGTAACAGACAGTGCTAATTATGTTTATGCCTCATTCTAGCTCTATTTAACTTTAAACTATTGACAAAGTTGGAATAATGCGTTAAACAGGATTCAGATTGAATTAAGAACTTTAGTTCAAGTGCCACGAGACTTCAAATATATTTGGTAGGTATTAATTGAAGGTTAGGTCAAAATTGCGATACAAAAAATAAGTACTGCGATTATAGAGACAAGCTTTGATAAATCAAAGGAGCAAGGTAACTCACGACAGTAAATGGACTTTCTGTGCTTTTTAATTTTGTGATTCGGTTTTTACCTCGTGTGTGATATGTGGCTATGTGTTACCTGGGGGCCTGGGGGACTTATCTACGTCCCCTTTCTTGGCCGGTCATTAACCTTTCCGAATGTAAGGTGATCCTCCTAACTAGTTGTTTGTTTACCAAAAATTTACTACGTGTTAAATGCCTGTTCTTCACTGGACAGAGTAATGAACCTTGCATGAATATGTTATTAATTAGAAATAAATTAAACTTCTACGTACGCGTACATATAATGACGACGAGCGAACGTTAACAAAAGTGCCAAAATGGTAATAATATGAGAAAATGTCAGAAATATTGAGGATAATATAGGATAAGCATTTGTTAAAACCTTATTACAAAATGTATTGCATTTGTTGTACACTAATTAAAATAGTGTACCCTAAAATTTATAGTGTTTTACTGTAAAATTTATCAATAAATGAAAGTTTTTCCTCATTTCATGATGTCATTATTGTGGTTTGCGCTAAGTTAGTTACCTATATCGAACCAATGTGGTATTGTTCACGGTAACCTTAATTACATACAGATGTATTTCTTCTCGCACGGTATCGAATAAGTATTACCCATGGAGCAAATGCTTTATTTGTATTTGCTCCATGGTATTACCTATATACTCATAAAAAAAATGTAAACGATTATTTAATATCTCTCAAAAATTTTTAACCGCGACTAGAGAGTAACCAACCTGCAGACCTTTTGTATTTTTCTGTCAATATCAAGACCAATCGGTCTATGCAGCATCGAAAAGACAGTTCGATAACTGGTCCATGACGCACTTAACTATAACTAAGGCACAGCTTGCGTCATTCCCTCCTCATGGGGGGCAGATTCCGAGGTCGCATTAAAAGCCTTCACGGCCAGAGCCAGATTGCGACAAAACGTAATCTTCCTCCTTTCCATATCTAATCTTCCTTTTTTCCATATCTAACTTAAGTAGCCAGAAGAACAAGATAGAATAAGGATTTTCGTTTTAAGCAAACTGAAAATCTGATTTTTAATTACTCAGCAAGATTGCAGGTTGATACAATGAAAATCAACTTGTGAAAAATGGCAGGTTTGAATTATTTAGTAAGCACATGTACATCGAATCGGAGACAAATCAGAGGCTCGAACTTTGACAACTTCGTTATCGTATCGCATCTTCAGTTTCTATGAAAACTAAGCAGCGCCCCTATTAAACTAAAACTCATTTATTCAGTCTAGGCTGTTACAAGCTCTTGTGAAAGTCTACGGCGGGAGACCTTGTACTGAGAAGAACCGGCAAGAAACTCAGCAAGGGCTATTTTTTTCTCCCTGTTTTGTTTCAAACAGTGTCGTCATTATTGGACAAATTACCTCTCGCACGGTAGACGTAAGGTCAAAACTGGATCCTTTCATACAAAGTTTGCAGATGACGTGCGATTCTCCAGACAAGAACCCCAAAATTCCCGTCATTTTAAAATTTTCTCCAGATATTAACACTTCCTGATCTGGCAGGTTGTGCACACAAAAAACTTTGTTGACGCAAACAAATATGTGTAGTTGATCTGGCAACCCTACGTCTACTATTCTCACGTGACTGTCGTACACAAAATACACTGGGCTGCGTTCGTAACGTTCAACACAGAAAAAACTTTGCTGATGCAAACAAAAATGTGTAGCTGATCTGGCAACCCTACGTCTACTGCTCACGTGATTGTCGTACACAAAATACACTGAGCTGCGAACGTAACGTTCAACACAGAAAAAACTTTGCTGATGCAAACAAAAATGTGTAGCTGATTTGGCAACCCTACGTCTACTGCTCACGTGGCTTTCGTACACAAAATACACGGGGCCGCGTTCTTAACTTTCAACACAGGTGCAACAAAAACTTTGTTGACGCAATCAAATATGTATACTTGATCTGGCAACCGTACGTCTACTGCTCACGTGGCTGTCGTACACAAAATACACGGGGCTGCGTTCCCAACTTTCAATACAGGTGCAACCAAAAAAACTTTGTTGCTGCAAACAAATATGTTTAGTTGATCTGGCAACTGTACGTCTACTGCTCACGTTGCTGTCGTACTCAAAATACACGGGCCGCGTTCTTAACTTTCAACACAGGTGCAACAAAAAACTTTGTTGATGCAAACAAAAATGTGTAGTGATACAAAGTACTTTATTAGCGTGGTATGGATATCCATTATAAGATCTCGTCCTA